AATCTTCATAAGATTTTGCCACAAACACACGAACAAAAGCGAAGTTATTATAAAGATTTAAAAAATAGGACTCCTTTTATTGGATGAGGGGTGCGGAAAAGGAAGATTAAAATTTATATAGGAAGTCCACAGTTAGGATAAAAGAGTTACATTTTTCAATGATTACTTGAATATTGAAAATAACCTCATTATTTAAATGACACTTTTTTTTTTTTTTTTTTTTGAATGGATATGAACAAATCTAAATAAGCCTAAGACCAAGGTTAATAATTTTAAAAATATTTTTATTATTTATATAGGAAGTCCACAGTTAGGATAAAAGAGTTACATTTTTCAATGATTACTTGAATATTGAAAATAACCTCATTATTTAAATGACACTTTTTTTTTTTTTTTTTTTGAATGGATATGAACAAATCTAAATAAGCCTAAGACCAAGGTTAATGATTTTAAACATATTTTTATTAGGGTTCCGATGATTTTACTTTCAGCACTTTTGTGTCCTGTACAAACAAACCAAACCAGGTGAATTTGGAAAGGGTAATATAAGAGGGAGATACTGCAATCAGGTTAGCAAGAAAGAGGAAATGAATAAAACCAAGTATGTGTAAACATGAAAAAGGAACGCAACAAAACAACGAAAATGTGGACAGGAAGCCTTCGTCAGTGTAGAAACAACAGGAAAAATAGAAATAAATTTTAAAAATAATACCTAGTGGTACAATAGTATCCGAGACGGCAGCCAAGGAATTGTGTCAGAAAATAAGTACCGTAGGTGAGAGATTAAACAGAGGCAAAAAGGGAAAGGATAGAGGAGAAGTAAGTCCCCTGCGACTGGTCGTGACGTGGAGGGTAGGGGCCAAGGCTCAACATGTAAATGAAAGCATGAAGTTTTCGGTCAAAATTCTTTTTTAGGTTTTCACATAATTTGTTTTATTAATTTCCAGAATTTGGAAAACAAGCTGATCCAGACTTATAGAACCTCGACACCACATGGCAATAACGGCATGTTTTCATTCCCCTGTTAAACATTTTCTCCGCCCCTTGTCATTACAACCAATCGCAGCGGACTCACTTTTCCTCTCCTTCGTCCCTTTTGCATGCATTTAATCTCTCACCTACTTATGTTCTGTCACATTCCTCTTGCTGTCCTCTCGGATACTACATTACAGCAAAGCGTTATTATTTAAAATGTAATTATGTTTTTTCTGTTGTTTGTTCGATGATGAAGGCTCGTCGTTTTGTTGAAATCTTTTTTTCAGGTTTCCCCATACTTTGTTTCGCTCATTTATATTTTTCTAACCCGATGACTGTCTCCATATTTTCATCTCACAAGTGAGAGCGCGGTTCAAGGTAAACTGACGTCAAATATGTTATTTCTCTAATATATATTTGAAAAATAATTATCTTAAACAGAATATTTATCATAAAATAATTTCCAAATAATAAAAAAAGTATGGATGCAACCCCATGCAGTTTTCTAACAGTATCTGAAGAATCACAGAATATGTATTTACACTCAGTAAATGGCGAACAATTTACATAATTAATAAGATTGCAAAAAAATTATTTAAGAACCGATCAATCGTTATTATAACTAAATCTATGAATGCCGTGATTCCAGGATAGTAATTGTTTCCAAAATAATTTCAACATTAAAAAAACAAAACAATGTAGACCTGTATTTGTATATTACCATGTTTAAAAGTCGATTATTCCATTTCTTACCAAATATTTAATTTTTAAAAGAAGCAGAAAAAGTCGAATCTAATTTAGGGTATTTATGAAAGTAGAAAAGTTTCGCCACCTTTTATTTTCAACACAGCGGAAGCACTAAGCTGACTAGGTTAAAAATAAGATTTTGAATTTTAAAGTTAATGTAATTTGCATTGTATCCTATGTGAGGTCACAGGGAACTTAAGATATTGTGTTTATCTGACACAGTGACAAAAATACATGGATCAGGTTTTATCAACTGCTTGTTTAGCTATTGAAAAAGAAGCTGACAATTTATACAAGTTAAGTCAAGTTATTTGGACCAACCCAGAGCTACATTTTAAAGAAAAGATTGCACATGAAGTTCTAACCAATTTTCTTGAAGAGAGAGGATTCGCTGTTGAAAGACGGTATAAAAATTTGGAGACTGCATTTAAAGCGACTTGGGAATGTAAAAATGATGGTACATGAATAATTTCAATGTTTAACTATTGACTAGTGTCTAAATTCTAATGCCAAACTAGTATATATAGTTAACTATTTATTATTTACTATTACTATTATAATTATAATAAATAATAATATTATGCTATATAAACTATATTCTATATTGCTTAAACTTTATGCTTAAACTTAATGATCTTTTAATTTTAAAAACATTTTCCAACAATGGAAATGCGTGATAATTTTTCAAATTAATAAAATATTATTGTAATTTATTGTAAATTATTTATAATTATTTCTAGCAAAATGGCTAGTATGTAGTGTAAGTACTGTAAGGGGTAAAAATCAAGTTCCCTCAATAAAAATAATTATTATATCATAATTTAGATTAATAAATAAAGTTTTAGCAAATTTATTAATAGGCACTTTGGTATTGCCCCGGAAACGTAAAAAACCAGGTATTGTTATTTTGTTATATAAATGGCGACCTTCACTTTTAATTTACAGAGTCTGGTTATTTATGATTTTTGTGCCAATTATATCCCAGAATGCACATTCTATTTCTGCCCACATCTAGACATAATATAATATTGTCTATTGCTTTATCAATATGCAATTTGTTCTAAAAAGAATTTGAGGTCTTCACTTTGAAAATTGAAAGTAAAATAATGAAAAATTCACTTATTCATATGGTTTGGTGAAAAAATATATCTCTCTTAAAGGAAAGGGATGAAAGAGATATTGCATAAAGTACAACATATCCCAAAAATCTTTCCTTTCCGTTCCAGTTGCTTCCAGGTATCCAATACTTTGTGTGTCTGCCTCTAGCTTGCATCTCCATGTATTCTTTGGCATTCCTCTCTTTCTTTTTCCCCCTGTGGATTTTTTCAAATGAAAGGAGGTGGCTTCGCCTTTGAGGCTTCCAGGATAGCCTGGGTTTGGCCTCATAGCTCTTCTTGGAGAAGAACGGCCCTCTCTTTTCAAGGCTGAAATTTGTTGGTTGGTTTTTTCTTGTTGTTGTTACTGTGGCAATTGACTTGTTTTTTTAGGGATGAGGCTTCACTCCAATACTCCTTTTGCACCCGCCCTTGAGACCAGCCATAGCGGAGGGCCTATAGTCCTAGAATAATATAACATATAGTATTATAAATAGCCCTACCTTACTTATTATCTGTAAGGGCCTATTGTTATAATTTTATGTAATGATATTTTTATGATTATTTTGATTCTAAAGGCATTAATTAAGTAAAAATGTAAAACATATTCTTTTACTGTTAAATTTGAAAAATCCTATATTTAATCACACATCCTCAAAATTCTCAAAGAAAAAACAAACTTTCTGCTGCAATAATCCAAGATTTACTCAAGATATTACTAAAGAACAACCATAACAACTAATGACATACTTATTTTTTTTGTCATATTCATATTCACATGGGACTATATAATATACAATATATATATATATATATATATATATATATATATATATATATAGAAAATAAAAAAATAAAAATATTTATTTTTTTTGTCATATATATATACACATGGGAATATATAATATAAAATATATATATATATATATATATATATATATATATATAGAAAATGGAAAAATAAAAAGTATAATTGTCAATTTTAACTTAATGAATAAAATAATCCCTGTATTATTTGTTTATACTTATAAATGTTAAACAGTTCCACTGAAACTTTTGAATTAATACCTACAGAATATTATTTTTATTGGGACATTAAAAAAAAAAATTTAAACAAAACTAATTAATTAAATACAAATAAGTGATGAGCCAGCATATTTAAAAACTTTTTTTTTTTTTAATATGGAAAATTATAAAGATTAAAAAAAATTTTTTTGGGGAATTTAACAATAAATTGATCGTGGGCCCTTAATATATAGCAGAAGAATAAACATATATGTTTTGGATTCATTTAGAAGAGATCATAATTATTTATGTTCCCTGTAAATATTTTATTTTTGTCTCATTTGATAATAAAGTTATAGGGCTTAAAACAAAAGCAAAATAAGGGTCACGAAATGTGGAGGAGAACTCCATAGTGAAAAAATGGTTCAGAGGTCCTTACTAAAAAATGCATAAATTTGATAGAAAGTTGATCATGGTGTTTTTGTAAACCATTTGCTAGGCTCTGTACAGCAGTAGTATTTTTATATTTTTAAAAAGGTTTTGAAATTTTAATCAAATTGCCTATTCATTATACACTTCATTGATTAAAAGTTAGAATAAAAATTATCAAGTGATTCTTGAGTGTATTAACAGCTTTGTCTAGCTTATGGGATAACAATCACGATCACATGCCAAGATAACATTTACTTGAACTATTTTAAAATAAATATATCCTTTTTATGGTTGTAGCTTACCCAAAGAAATTTTTTTTTTTCATTTGTTTGTTGCATGATATTATTGTGACAAATAAAAATTTTGAACCTTAAAATAACAATTTATTGTTGAGATTTACAATTTTTATTCTAAAGATAATATTGGACTTCTTCATTTTTTCTTGTTCCTCAGTTTACAATCATAAGCTGATATTTAAAAAACAACACTTTTCAAACAAATAAAAAAAACAACACACATGATACAAGTGCTTACCTGGCCTATGGCTCACAATTAACTTATTCTTGTTGGGATTTTTTAATCAAGTAGAATTAGTCTTGCTCATTTTTTTAAAAAGTACTTAAAAAAACTTTAATTGTTAACACTTTCATTATTATTTTACACTTCAATTACTTTATTATTCTTTAGTGTAACTAAGAATTAAAAGAAAACAAATATCAAACTGTTAGTAGTCTATCTATTCAACAGGGAATACTATAGCACCTAATGTTTTCATAATTTGTGAGTATGATGCCCTACCTGAGATCGGACATGGATGTGGTCACAACCTGATAGCTCAGTTGGGCGTGGCTGCTGGCATTGGGGTCAAGGCGGCTTTGGAAAAGTATGGGAAACCAACAGGAAAGGTAAACTTGCCACCCATCCCCCAGTTCTGAATTCACATCTTAAACCAAAAAGTACTAAAACTAATCCTTGGTATGTCAGAATAGACACATTAGTGTCATCCAGTAAATATGCCCAGCATGGAAATCAATAAATCTCAGGCACATGCAGGTATATTGTCAAGAATCCTGGGTTTTCATAGAATGCTGTCTCTTTCTATAATACATACAGGCTGAACCTGTTTGCTAAAAAAGTAAAGAAAGTATTAAAAACATTCTATTAATCTTTCTGAATGTGAGTATCTAAAACTGTTCAGTTCTGGAAATTTTGTAGACTTGTTGTCAGGACCTGTAAGACCCACATTTTTTAAGCTGTTGATTTCACTCTATCCATTATAATTAAAAAAAAACAAAAACAAGCTTTCTTACTTATAGTGGGAAAGGACTTTGTTTGAACATAAATAATCGTTTAAAAAACTTTTACTTCTTCCTCATATTTGTAAAAGCTTTTATAGCAAAGTTATATGTTAAGGAAATATTATTTTTATAATGCTGGCCTTGTTTGTTTGTAACTGTGAAGGTAACAATACTTGGAACTCCAGCAGAAGAAGGAGGTTGTGGTAAGCAAGTTCTCATCGATGCCGGGGCTTTCAATGATGCTGATGTGGCGATGATGTGTCACCCATCACACGTGAACCAAAATGAAATTCTCCTTGCGTCTTCATGTATGTAAGTGGGTTATCGAAATGGTTCATTTATATGGAGTAAAACATCAAGATGTTGATAATTTTCGAACATCTCACCTGTGATGTTTTTGTGATACTCTCCCCTAGGTGCAAGGTGACATATCACGGTAAATCAGCCCATGCCTCTGTCTTTCCATGGGACGGGGTTAATGCTTTAGATGCAGCTGTCCAGGCTTATAATGGATTATCTGCTCTCAGACAGCAGATCAAGCCAAGCTCACGACTACACAGTGAGTGACCCCCCAGTACTACACATTACATACACAGTGAGTGACCCCCCAGTACTACACATTACATACACAGTGAGTGGCCCCCCAGTACTACACATTAGATACACAGTAGAGACAGACCAAATTTCGGTTTCGGTGCCAAAAGTGGCCATTTTATAAATTTCCGTCAAGTTTCAGTTTCGTCAGAAACTGAAAGTTAACTTTCTGCTTAATTTCGGTTTCAGCCGAAAGAGAAAAGTTAACTTTCGTTTTTTTTTTCAGTTTCGGCTGAAATTGATTGAGGTTTTCGGACATCTAATTCTCAGCAAAAGCGATATTTAACAACAAACTAAGCTACATTTAAGAACAAACTAAACGATCTTTAAGAACAAATTAAGCGATCTTTAAGAAAAATTTAAATGAAACAAGGGATGAGGAATATATTCCGACCACAAAGAGACAAAAATTATCCCTTAAAAAAGAGGAAAAGGAAAAAAAAAATCAACACCAACTAGGCCTAGTTCAAGTTCTAGTAATTCTGTGGCTTCAACTTCAAAGCATAATTCATCTTCATCTAAAACTAGTCAATCTATTAGTTCAAATTATTTCCCTACTGAGACAGAGTGATCCGAAGTCCTAACAGGACAAACTGAAAACAATTTCTGATTTCATCCCCTTAGAAATCCTGGAGTTTGCCCTAAACTTCAAAACCTTGTAAACCCTACATCTATTAACTTTTTCAATGAACTATTTGATGATAATGTTAAAGATTACATTGTTGAATCTATAAATGCCTATGCTAAAAAGAAAGTTCACATGAACACACATGTCTGCTGAATCCTATATTCCATGGATACACCAGAGATTTCAGGACATCTATCACTCCATGCTACACTGTGGCGATGAAAATTCCGAAGGGAAAGATAAAATTGAACCATTTATGAACATACTCTTGAATAAGTTTAGAAATGCATTCTACCCTTTTCAGGAACTTAGCATAGATGAAATGGTAATAGGCTTCAAGGGCAGATGGCAATTCAAACAATATAATGCCACTAAGCCTAGCAAATATCATATCAAGACATTTGGCCTGTGTGATTCCTCAAGGGGAGATGTTGTTGATATTTTGACCTATTTTGGGGCCAATACCTCCTATAACCCAGAAACAGATAAAGATGGAGGACAGGCTGTGCAAGTTTTTCATACTTTACTGCAGCATGTGGGTACTGGACAAAAAATTTTTGCTGACAGATATTATACGTCAAGAAAACTTGTTGATTACCTTCTTGCCAAAAACCAATACTACACAGGAACACTGAATATCAACCGCATTGGATTTCCACTAGACATAAAATCTTTATCTTTACAACAAAAAGAGATGAAGTGTTATATAAACCAAAACAAGAACATGCTCTGTGTTGCTTTCAGGGACAAAAAGGCAAAAAAAAATGTCATATTGGTGTCCACAGATGCTAGGGTACAAGTTACCGAAACAAAAAAAATGGATAAACCGGAAATGATAGACATTTATAATCACAAGATGAATGGCTGCGATAAGCTAGACCAAAAAGTAACATATTACTGTGTTTATGAGCGAAAAACATTGAAATGGTGGAAAAAGATTTTTTTCTGGCTGTTAGAAATTACACAGGTGAACTCGTACATTTTGTTTTTACTCTGTCAAGCAGCAGATGCAAACAAAGTAAAAATGAGTCTAAAACAATATAAACTTATGTTGATGCGTCAGCTAACCGAGGAAGTAGCATTAAATCAAGTACTAAAAGCACCAGGAAAGGGTCCAGAGACCGGATGCCTCGAAAAGTCTAATGATGCTCAACACATTGTTGATTTTGATGATAGGGACCGATCTTGCGCATATTGCTCAACTGCAACAAAGCGAGTACGCACACATTTCTATTGTACTGGGTGTGAAGCCAAACCCCATCTCCATCCTAAAGGATGCTTCAAGGCCTTTCATTTAAAATAATAGCTTCATTTGTGTATATATTTAGTAAATATGTGAAATATGTGGAAATATTTGAGTATAACTATTTTTATTGTTGAATTTTTGAAAAAAAAATTTAACACGTGTCTTGGGAAAGAAATTCATAACTTTACAATTTCTGGAGCTACTGCAATGAAACTTTCCAGTTGTTTTGGATGTATCATAAGACTCATTTTAAGAAAATATGAACTTGATTGGATTATTGTTACCTGATTTCTGAGCTGGTGAGTCAAGCAAAAAAAATTATTTTTTTATAATTTTTTACATAAACCTGCAATAATACCCCCAAAAATGTTCTTTGGGTAATTTTCTTTATCACTTTTTTATACTAGAAACATATTCCTTTTTCAATTACCTACATTTGGATATGCAGCATGATATAATTTTGATAAATAGCAAAACAGAGCTTTTCAGTTTAAAATCATCAGGTCAAATAGAATTTTAGTCCCAAAATTTTACTGCGTTCCCTTAAAAAAATTGTGACGTATTGAATGGGTTAAAGAACAAACTAAGCAATTTTTAAGAACGAACTAAATGATCTTTAAGAACAAAGCAAATGATCTTTAATAGTAAACTAAATGATTTATAAGAATAAACTAAGCGATCTTTAACAGAAAACTAAATGTTCTCTAGGAACAAACTAAAAGATCTTTGAGAACAAACTAATCAATCTTAAGGAACAAAATCAATTATCTTTAAGAACAAACTAAGCGATTTTCAACAACAAAATAAGCGATCTTTAAGAACAAAATAAACGATTTTTAATAACAAAGTAAAAGATCGATACAAACAAACTAAATGATCTTTAAGAACAAAATGAATGATATTTATGAATAACTAAGCGATAGTTAAGAACAAAATTAATGATCTTTAAGAACAAAGTTAGCGATCTTCATGAACAAACTAAATGATCTTTTAATAACGCAAACTAAGCAATCTTTAAGAAAAACTGAGCGATCTTTTTGAACAAACTAAATGATCTTTAAGAACAAAATAAAAGATCTTCAAATAAAAACTAAGCGATCTTTAAGAGCAAAATATGCGATTTAAAAAAAAACAAATAAACGATTTTTAACAACAAACTAAGCGATCTTTATGAACAAACTAACCAATCTTTAAGAACAAATAAAGCGATCATTAACACAAAAACTGAACGATCTTTATCAACAAGATGTTATATTAGATTTTTATTTATTAATATTCAAGATTATCTAATTTTTAAAAAAAGAATGTAAATATTTATACTTTCTCCCATCATTTTCGATGTATGCAGAATGTATGCGGGAACGAATTTAAAAATATCTAAATATGTCAGTTTCGGTTTCGGCCGAAAGTCATTTTTAACTTTCAGCCTTTCTTCGGTTTCGGCCAAAAGTCATTTTTAAACTTTTGCCTCATTTTCGGTTTCGGCCGAAAGTCATTTTAAGCTTTCGGCCTATTTTCGGCTTCGGCCGAAATTAGAAAATCACTTTCAGTGGGTCTCTAACACACAGTGAATGACCCCCAGTACTACACTTACATACACAGTGAGTGGCCCCCAGTACTACACATTACATACACAGTGAGTGACCCCCAGTACTACACATTACATTTACAGTTACAATGAATATATGTCTTATTAATCATATCCTCTCCAAAATTCACTTTAGCAATGATCAAATACACATATTGTAAATATTGAGTCTATTGACATTTCATGGGTCTTCAGAACAGCATGGCTAATATTAAGCATGTTATTGTAATTTCTGTTGACAGCATTGGCATACTACTGTGAGGTCAAATTTTGAGAGTGAATAAAGAGGCATTGCAAATCCCCTCTGCATGCATAGGAGCCAAAATGATCAATAAATTGATCGTGGGGCTTTAATATATAGAAGAAGAAGAAGAGATTTTGAAGTGAAACAATTTGCTATGAACAAAGCAGTAAATGACCTGTGAAGTGTCAACAAATCAATATTATGATTGTTTTAAATATTTTAATGAAAACGTTCTTTTAATGTGTGTGTATTTCCTTAGAGATTTTATTCACTAAGTTTTCTACTGAACTATTCTTATGTATTTTGCCTGCTAGAGCGAGTAAATTTTATTTATTATAGTCAGACAACATGTGAGTCAATTAATCAAATAAAATCTTGAACTTTACCGTGAATTGTATAAATACCATTAAGGAGGTGATAATATTTTAATAAATTTATGATCCAAAAAATTTAATAGTTGGCAACAAAATCAATGATGTTTTACTATTTTTGTTTTAAAGGGTTACAATTTTTAAATTCTTATTTTTGTCATTCCGATCAAAATATTAAAAACAGCTGATTGCTTAACAATCTCTGTGGCCAGTCCATGTTCGTATTGTTAGAATGACTCATTTGACCAACTTTCAATTAAGTATTATGATTTCAGCCATCATCAGTAAAGGTGGAGTATACCCCAACATTATTCCAGACCTGGCCGAACTTGTGCTCATTGCAAGGTCCGGTTTAAAGAAAGATCTGAATGTTCTGATTGACAAGATCAATGGCTGCTTTAAAGGTGCAGCAACAGCTACGGGTTGTACGGTAAATTATAATTACATGCTGTTGATATCTACACAGATTCAGATTTGTTGGTGCATTCTTTTTCATTTTGACATCAAAATAACAATGTCTTATACAAATTATAAAATTTTTCTTAATACTTTCTGTCTAGAAAAAATGGCAACCATCTTGTGTTAAGAAAATCGCTTCCCCAAAAATAATAAACTTAATCATTTAAATTATATTTTTTTCATTATTTATTACTAATAATTGTTTCTTGCCTACAGGGTATATGAAGCAATTCAATTGGATCTCTTCCATTTAAATGTTTACAATACTGTAACTATGTTTTATTAGAAAGTGCATGATCTTTTCACAAATAAAAAATTTGTTGTTGACTTCCACACCATGTAATTTTCCCCTCCAGATTTATTCATCACATTGGGTAAATCCAATAAATCTCAATGTCTCTGGAGCTCCACACGAAGCTTTCCTTTATTTTCATACACTCACCTGGCATTTGCAATCCTCATGCTGACATTTTGTCTACCCAAAACAGGTTGACATATCTTGGGAGCCTCATGTTTACGCTGACATGCACCCCAACCAGGCGCTGCTGGAGGTGTACAACAAACACATCTCACAGTTGGAGCCTGCCCGCACCACCAGTGACTACAATGATATCACAGGCTCATCAGACATGGGCAATGTTAGCTACGTGGTGCCCAGCATACACCCAGTGTTTTCTATAGGAGAGGCTATGGTACACACCAGAGAATTCACCTTGGTGGCAGGTAAAGATTTGAACCAATCAACTATCACAGGGGGGGGGGGGGGGGGGGGGGGGTTTCATCATAAATTTTTGCGTGTGATAGTCTTGTTGCTGTAAGTAAATAAAAAAATTTGTTTGTTAACATTGTCATTGATGTTCCCAAACATTTTAGATTGAAGGATAAATTTGACTAGCAAAGGTATCCTCAAACTCTATTCCAAACGACTGTATTTCTTATTTTAAACATCACCATTGTAGTATTTAAGCCAGTTAGGGAAATCAGTTGTGAACCATGAGCTCTAACATTGCGTCAACTTAGTCTAAGATGTTTGCTGCCATCAATGGCTCAGGCTTGCTTATTTTATTAATAAATCGGCTGGAGCACTACTTGTTTATTAATGTAATAGCAAGTAGCCTTCTTTTAAAACAATATAAAAATTAAAATTTGCCATGATTGGAAATATTTATAACAATAGTTTAAAACAGGGTGGGCAAACTACGCTTGCGAGCCAGTTGTGGCTAGCTCGTCAGTTTTGATTTGCTCGCGTTACCTTTAAAAAAAAAATAAAACGATTAAAATAGGTATAAAAGTAAACGAAAAAAATGTGCGTGTAACTTAAATTTTAGATTGTATATGTCACTAAGAGTGAGATCTATCTATATGTGGCTGTTTGGCTCTTCTGGTAAAATAATAAACATGCCTCTATTACAGGGGTCTCAAACTCAAATCATCCAGGGGCCGCAGGAGGCAGAGACTGGGCCGCATCAAATATTCCACAAAAAATTATTTCAAATTGAATAAAGTAAAACTGTTACAATCTGCTAAACCCTTAGTGATAACAAGTAAAAACTTTAAGGGTTCTTAAGACTAGGCTTCACTCTCTTCCTCCTACTGCTTGTTGCCAGAGACCTGGTTCACGATTTCCCTCACTCGTAAACATTAGCGGCAATTTTGATAGGGATTCTTTGATACTGTGTCAGATCGCTACGATTTACACAATTATGGTTGTGCAATACCCACTAACTGACTTCTTAAAGTTTTGAAATATGTATGTATAATATTCAAAGAGTGTTTTCTCAAAAAACGCACTTTGGCCATGTTTGTAGCATTATATATAATCAACACCAAAATCTATAAAAACATAATAAAAATCAGAATTAGACTAGTTGGTGAGGTTCGACCGAAACGGTCGCGGAGGGTCACATTATAGACATGAGAATGGGGAAACCACGTGGGCCGCATTAACACTAAATTTGCTGTCATGTCGCGGGCCGCGAGTTTGAGACCCCTGCTCAATTACGTTTTGAATCTGGCTGGCTACAAAAATTTTCCCCCACCCCGCTTTACAATTTAAATATGTTACAAACCTTTTCCATTTTCTTTCTTCTTTGGTGCTTTGAGAAAGTTTTGGGCCCACTAACAACAATGATAAAAAATTTAGGAATACTGAGATAAGGAAATTAAGTCAATCTTCTCTCTCCTCTAGGAGCCAAGGAAGCACAGGGGCCGACACAAAACCAGGGGAAGGCACTCGCTATGACAGCTTTAGAAATTATGAGTGATTTGTCTCTCTTAGAGAAGATTAAGTTGGAATTTGAACAAGTGAACCAGTCATTGAAGTAAATAGAGACAACAGTGAATAGTTCATTAAATAAGAATTATCTCACACTGAAGGCGAAATTTCAACCACAAGAAACTACCATACAAGCAAACTGTCTAGTTGTTAATGTATAAGAGTTCTTTGTGACGCTGTATGACTTTCAAGTCATTAATGGCATTTTAATATGAGAAACAGGCAGGAGCCGGAATGGACACACATATAGTAAACAGTCTTTGGGGTGATAAGGTCAGGCACTGGTCAAGTCTGGACACAAATGTATATATCCATTTTCTCATTCTGAAAGGGGCTCTGAAAAAGTCCAGCTTAAGGTCTAAATGAGTCCAAGTTCTACATTGAAACCATCCTTCCATGCATAATCATATAATTATAAACTATTATTTATGTTACTTAACAATACAAATCTGTGTAGGAGCTACCCAGGCAAGGGCTCCTCAACCTTTTAACCGTGATCTATATGAAAGAGTTATTCAGACTGCAACATGGTTCTCTGCCCAATATATAGGTTTTGGATCATCTTAAATATTTCACCTGCGGCGGCCTGGTGCTGGCTGGTGGACTACCAATTTGATTAGGACAACCTTTAGAAATGTAACGTTGATATTACATAAGTGGTAAATAAGAAAAAAACCTGTCACAGAAGTTGTTGTTCTCCATTACAGAAGGATGTAAATGCCATGGATTGATGAAATCACCAAGAAAAAGATTGATGAAATCACCAAGAAAAAGATTGATGAAATCACCAAGAAAAAGATTGATGAAATCACCAAGAAAAAGATTGATGAAATCACCAAGAAAAAGTTTTTGAAGTGGATGTTGTCGGATGATCCTTCGGCAAAGTAGTGCATCAAGGTGTTGTGCTGAGAGAGAAAGCAAAAGCCTATTACACTAGTGCAGTCCTTCACTTACTGTCCTTTATTTATACAAGCTGCACTGGTGTGCATTTCCTGTGTTGAAACCATCAATTAGTTTGAACCGTATGTGTTGTAGGCTGTGTAGTTCGATAACGTGTTAAGTTTTGCATTAAAGTAAAGGTCTCCGCCATTCCTCAACTTCTGTTGTGTTTTTTGTGGGAGGTGTTTCTGAGCCATCCATAAATGACGTCACACGTCTTATTAACAAAAAAAATGGGGAGGATGGGTCACGTGTCTTTGGCGAGGGGTACTGGGGGGTGGGGTATGGTTAAGCAATGTGAAGTCACATTAAAAGTGGACCAATATTGAAACAAAAATTTAACATTCAATTTTTCAACATTATTCATTTAATACAACAATTTTTTTATTTATAAAACAAAATGTCAACTGTGATTACTGAGAGAATCGGTAGAGGTCCGACAAAGTGGCTCTGGCTCTGGTCAAGTTGAAAGTCGGACACGGAGGTGGGAAGTAGCAGTGAGTGGTGACGTTGACAGTCGTGACAATTGATGTTGACATATGGTGGTGACGGTAGTCGCAGAAATAGGGCAACCACGTGAAGTGGGATGGAAAGAAAAATGGCTGGCGGTTATGGGTGGGGAGGGGGGTGATTTAATCTTAGTAAATGTCCCGGGGTAAATTCACACCCCCCCCCCTATAAATCATATTGTGATGAACTTTTTTTTTTTTTTTAAATGTCAATAAATTAGTTATTGTAGTTAAATTTCTCCAATGAACCCCCCCCATATAAATCATATTGTGATGAACTTTTTTTTTTTTTTTTAAATGTCAATAAATTAGTTATTGTAGTTAAATTTCTCCAATGAACTCTCTAGAAACAACAACAAAACCAAGACTACAGCTTAGTAGTATGAGGAGTAGTGGGCAAACAATATTCACATGAAAAACGTTAATTGCTGCCAATCAAAATGTATAAAAACGTTTTGTTTAAAGCAGTTACGACCAACGAAGGCAGAAAATACAATTTTCTGGGTCTTCCGCACGTCAGGGGTACTTTCACCCTTGATTAAGAACCGCTTGTTCTATGGAAACGTTTCTGACACGGGTGAAGTAGTAATTCGATATTCATGGGAAGTGAAATTTTTGAGGGTTCGTAGAGGACATCAGGGACCGAGGTGTATTTTTTGTATTAAAAAAGGGTTGGGATGAAGATGCTGTGACGTTATATTTGATTGGCTTGGGGGAGGGGCTACACAAATTGTCATTACGTAATTTATGGACGACCCTTTAACTGATGAATGCTAAAAACAATCGATGAAAACCAGAGGCATGTGCTTGGATGGTGTTGGGGGGGGGGGGGCTTTCTCTCCCGGTGTTTAGTCAACAAAAGACTTGACGGGAAATGTTCCCACCCCGGGTTCACCCTCACAGAATGCAATAATTGTAGGCCTACTGGACAGGTTACTTGATCAATTCAAACGAACAAGAAACTTATTTTTCATGTTTGCTTCTTGAAAGTTAGAAAGTCAAAGATTGTCGCTAAAATATAGTTAACTGCGTTGAATTACTGAAGCCGAGTAGCTCTAGTACACAGGTTCTCAAGCGTTTTCAAGGCACGACCACATTCGTACAGACGCAAAGTGCCATGGTCATGGGCGCCCGCAGAAAACTTTCTAGGGGGGGGACAAAAAAATCGATTAACTTTCCAGGGGGGGGGGCAAATTTTTTTTAGTAATGTTTTAATGTAGTTTTAATTTAGTGTAGCGTATTTGTATGGTGAACGAACGGACAGGACATTAGCTTAGTACCTTTCTCTTTATTTTCTCTTTACTTTAATATATGTTTTGTCTATTTTTGTTTAAATTTTTTTATCCAATCAATCCAGGGGGGGGGCAAGTGCCCCCCACCCCCTGCGGGCGCCCATGGACATGGTCCATGGTATATTGGAAAGAGGATTTTAAAAAGTTTTTTATAACACTAATTTAACCGAAAGCGAATTTAGGATTAAAATAATAAGTTTTGTTCATTCAAATGCTGGTCAAAGAACACAAAGTTGTCTATAGTATTGAAAATAGTTCTTGAAGTTTTGGGTTAAAGGCAGTAAGACTAGTAAGAGTCTCCACTGTCTCATAAAATGTCAGATTTGTGAGAATGTCGCGCGAACACTTGGTGACATCAGTGCCATTAGCCGTAACGAATTGATTCGATGTGGAATGCATTTCATGTTTTATCTGCATCAGTGTTGAATTGAATACGATCTTCAAAAAAGTGCAGTTAGGGAATACGATTGCATCACAGACTAGATGTTAGAATACATAAACTACAGTTAGTGAACTCTAGCGTGAAGGTGCATCATAGACTAGATGTTAGAATACATAAACTACAGTTAGTGAACTC